AGCAGGAATATTAATTTGGAATAAGTATGTATGCAATAAATCTTCTGCCACGGGATAGCAATCACGGAGATGCAGGAAAGCTGTGCTCAAACCTGTCCTTAGACCTGCCTTTATTTACATTTTGATTGGCTGCCATTTGGATAAGCTGGAGTATTGTCTCACAAAACAATGAATTTTAAAGCTGTGGCCATGAATTATTTATTAGCTTGCAAGTGGGAGAAAGGTGGGCTGAGTGCCACTGCTTCCATTTCTTTGAAGGATCCTATGGTTACCATCTGAAGCCATTTTTTTGGTCTTTTTCTTTCACTGTCACAGTAGGATCATCTTTCTAATGCTTTACCAGCTGTGAATTAACTCTGTACATACATTTATTTTGTCTTAGGGGATTGACTGCTTTTGTTTTCAGCAGAGACATAAAATAACTGCATTGACAAGAATTGCCATGAAGTAATTTGGGAACTCCTTATACCACAGTTCACAGAATGGGAGCAGCATATGTTACCTTCCTTATCCTCAGAGGTTATACTTAAAAGTTTCCTACATATATATATATGCGCTCATAGAATATTATCTAATATCCAACATTACATATTGGATAGTAGACATTAAGTGTCATGCACTGAACAAACAGGGCCATAATCCCCCCTGAGACACTGTCATCAGGACTGCCAAGTAGCTTTCCTCAATGCTTGGTAGGCTTTCCTGAAAGCCTTTTCATAGAACCATAGAATTTGGAATGGACCTCAGAGACCATCTAGTCCCAACCCCTGCCCTGGGCAGGGACACCTCCCACCAGAGCAGGTTGCTCAAGGCTCATCCAACCTGGCTGTGAACGCTGCCAGGGTTGGGGCAGCCACAGCCTCCCTGGGCAACATAAAGGTGACTTACTTTAAGTCACTTTATGCTGTTGGACTTTGATAGAGCAATTGAGAAGTTGGAGAAGGCAGGGACTAACCCAGGTACTGTAGAACATGAAAACTGGCTAAAGGAAAGATCTCCAGAAAAGAAACCAACTAGGAAGGGTTTAATGAAGTGCTTCAGGGATGGCTTTAAATTGAGACATACAGCCCCAACTCCCTCAGCCTGTCCTCACAGGGGAGATGCTCCAGTGCTCTTAGCAACTTTGTAGCCTCCTCTGGACTTGCTACAACAGTTCCATGTCCTTATGCTGAGGACACCAGAACTGTGTGCAGTATTCCAGGTGGATCTCATGAGAGCAGAGTAGAGAGACAGAATCACCTCTTTTGACACCCCCACCTGACTCCAATCTCCTGTCAGGGAGTTGCAGAGGGTGATAAGGTCTCCCCTGAGCCTCCTCTTCTCCAGGCTGAACACCCCCAGCTCCCTCAGCCTCTCCTCATGCCACTTGTGCTCCAGTCCCTTCACCAGCCTCGTTGCTCTTCTCTGGACCTGCTCCAGCACCTCAGTGTCCCTCCTGAGCTGAGGGGCCCAAAAGAATTAGATTGTTTAGTCAAAGAAAGGAAGGGATTATGCTCCTGGAAAATGTAGTCACAGCAACTTCAGAGAGAGGAGATGAAGCTGGAGGTCTCACTTCCTATCGGGGCATCTTCGAGCACAGACTGTCCGAAGAAATTTTAAGCTCTCATTAGTGATTGAATTAGTTATAAATAGGCACAAATGTCCTTTCTGCCTGGAAAACCTAAAGAGATTACTCAACAGATGCAAATCTTACTCACTGTGATTGACAGTGACAGAATGTTAAGATAACGTATGGTATTGAATGTAAATGCAAATAATTCCCATCAACTGCTGCCTGTAATTGGAAGTAGTTAGTGTTTCTGCACAGGGTCATCCTGCTGTCTGAATTACATTCTCTTTACTAGTCATGCATTTAAAAAATGCAAACTCTAAGAGTCATAGCAATTATGAAGGTGTTATATAAAGGAGAACAAGTGTTTCCATTACTGATAGGAATTACACAGAGGAATGAAGAAAGATCTTGCTGCCTTAGCAGTGTTCATTTTCTTGAGGAAACCGAATACATTTAGCCATTCTGGAGATTATGGAGTCCTACATCCTAGAAACTAGATTCCTTTGAAATCATCTTAATCTAAACATTTTACCTGAAGAACTAAACCATGATTAATTTATTAGGGATGTTCCCTTTGTGTTGGTCTGGTTTGATTTACTCTTGGTGTCACTGTTGTAGAGCACTTCTGTTTCGATTGAAATTCATCATCTTTTGTCAAGACACAGGGCTGGATTATTTATGGGGTTTTGGTAAAATGCAGTTGGGTCTACACAGAAACCTAAACACCTCTCAGTCACCTTTCTCACTCCTGTACTGAACTTGGCTAGACTTAAGCCTAGGGAAGACATTTGCCCATTAAATACCCAGTGTGTTAACTGACTAGATTTATGCCAAGTTAACAAGCTGTTAAACAAAGCTGATTATAGCTGCCAGTCCCATTTCAAACTCCAGGTCCCAGTGAAATACAGTATTATATTTTTCTTAATGAATTTAAAACTTCTCAGCATTCTAGGATTGGGGTTTCTTTTCCCCCTCCTAGTTGCTTGAGGCTATATCATGATCTGACCTACATAGCTGGCAGACAGCTCCATTGAGCACTAGCTCCAGCTGCAATCTACAGGACAGGGCTGTTGAAATTACCTCTTTTTCCTATCTTCTCAGAGCAATGATGATTATTTTCCAAACAAAGGATATAAAAAATGCAGATGTTCTCCTTCTCCTCCTCCTCATTCTGTTTTTATTTTCTGACTCTAGGTATGTGAATATTCAGATGGAACCAAGTCTTTGAAGCTTGGAGACTTTGGACTGGCGACTGTGGTTGACAGGGCTGTTGAAATTACCTCTTTTTCCTATCTTCTCAGAGCAATGATGATTATTTTCCAAACAAAGGATATAAAAAATGCAGATGTTCTCCTTCTCCTCCTCCTCATTCTGTTTTTATTTTCTGACTCTAGGTATGTGAATATTCAGATGGAACCAAGTCTTTGAAGCTTGGAGACTTTGGACTGGCGACTGTGGTTGAAGGACCTTTATATACTGTCTGTGGTACCCCCACGTATGTGGCTCCAGAAATCATTGCAGAGACAGGGTAAGGATGGCTGACTAAGACATAGGCCTTGTAACCTGTTATTTTTGGCAGGTAGCTCCTAACTGTAAGAATTAGAATGCTCTACTGGGCTGCCCCTCCAACCTGTTGTAACCAAACCACCCATGGACATCATTCACAGCTCCTCAAAGAGGACAATTTCCTTGCTCTCCCTGCTCCCAGCAGTCACCTTTGCCTCCTTACCCACCTCCCTAGGGCCAGCACTGGTGCAGTGATGTTCATTGGTTTGTGCTCAGCATTCAGAGCCCATTGCACCAGCTGCTTGGGGAACAACGGACAAGGAAGACACAATGTTCATGTTAAAAATGGAATAATTTTTATTGGAAGAGGCTCCAAAGGTCGCCTCGTCTAAACCTGTTCTCAGAGGAGCCCTAGTTAGATCATCTTGATACAAGTGACCTTATTGGGGTGACACATGCTGTTTGATAGCTATTTGTTTAATTGAACAACCCCATTTTCCTGTATTTAACAGGTCATTGCATAAGTACAGAACAATTTGGTAAAATGGTAGAATTTCACAAGTCATCTTTCCTTTTAGACCTGTTAGAGCTCCATTCCATGCTCTGCCTGACTCTTACCATAGCTGTGACCACTCTGAATTTGGTCTTCCCAATGGAGGGAGGTTTGTTGTGTTGTTGTAGTCATTGTTCAGTGCATTTGTCATATCAATAAATATTTCCCAGCTGCAGTGAGCTCAAATGTCAAAGGGCTCTTCGTCTGCATATGTTAGATCTTGACAAACTGAACATACTGAACAGAAAAAAATAGGGGAAATGACCTCTTTTTGACCTGTAGTGTTTTAATTTCTGCGCTTTCAAAGAAAAGTGCAGTTCTTTCTCTCTGTGTTCCTCGAGACTGGAGAATTGGTGTATGTCTTGTTGCTTAGCAACACATGATAACCTTAGAGATAGTTATTTCACCATAGGGACTGAGAAGGCACATCCTTGTCTTTTATCCTCACTGAGTCTGGATTGGGAAACCTTGATACTGACTTGATAGTATATTCAGAAGACCCTTCAGAAGACCTTGAGGCTTATGATGGGGAAAAAAAAAAAAAGAAAAATCATAGAATTCTGATCTCCTAAAGGGTGTAAAGTTGTGAAGAAGATGATGCTCAGGTACAAAATATATTACCACATCAGCTGCAAGTTAGATTCTGATGTATTTACATCCATGCCATTTTTCTTTGATTTGGAATGAGGTTGTTTTTAATTTAGCATAAGTCACACAGCCTTGTTTCCTCAGGTATGGCCTCAAGGTGGATATTTGGGCTGCAGGTGTGATTACATACATCCTCCTCTGTGGGTTCCCACCTTTTCGCAGGTGAGTGGCCCCAAGGGTCAAGGGGAAAACACTCCAAAAAACACATTCTTTCTGAGCAGGTCTTCCCTTTCTCCCTGAACAAAAAGGGAGGTGGGGACAAAGGGGATTAGATTGACACATTTTCTGCTAGTTTTTATTCATTTCTTTAAATAGTTTTCACTTGTCCCTCATTTTAGGGTTTGGGATTCGTTTGTTTTCCCAAGGGAGCGCTGGGTTGGTGCCGAGCACTGGGATGTGGGGGGTGAGGACAGAGCTGCTTTTCCTTTTGTCTGCCCAGTATTGTATCCCAAATCCATGTGCGAGCAGGCTCTGCCCTCTGCTGTTGCCTTGGGATCCAGCAGGGCCGGGGAAAGGGAACAATTCCCTTCTCTTCCCTTTGAACCTTGCTAGTCTTTCTGAGAAGCCTCTTAGGAGCAGTGGAGTTTGCTCACATCACTCAGTGTCACCACACGTCTGAGTTCTACTGCAAACCAAATGGATGTGCTTTTTGCCTCAGCAACTTTATTTTATTTTAATTTTTTTGCCAGGGAATGAGAAGGAATCAGCACATTTTAGCAGGGATTTCTCCTCTTAATGCATCAATTATTGCTGCACATTCTGTTGGTTCATTTTCATGGCAAAATACTTAATTTTGTACTGAGTCACCAATGAGAATATTTTGCAGAGAATACAGTACACACAACTATTGCTCATGGAAAAAATATTCTTTACGTATTTGGGGTTTGTGTGTTGTTAGTTCATGTTTCAAACTGAAAACATGTTTTGAAAGGTACATTATACAAACAAATGGCAATTTCTTTGACTTTGAATAGAGTTTGGGTATGGAAGGTGTCCACATCATGCTATTAGACAAGGCCTTTTTAAGCAAGGTTAATAAATATTTACAGCAAACCCAACTCAAGAGCTAACTTGTTCTCTACAGAATTAGGTTGGGTGGCTGTTCAGTGGCTACAGCTAATAAACAAGTTAAAAATGAAAAATTCCACTGCCACTGATCTCTGAATATTCATTACACAATGTTTTTTATACAGAAGTATTTATCCTTTCAATGTCAGGAGGCTGCCAGTACTCAGTAAACTAAACGTGTCATGTGTTTTCCATAGCTCCTCTTTGGATTGTGAAAATTCTCCTGGTCTGATAGTTTGGCAGAAGAGGCTCATTTCACTGCACCTTCCCCCATCATATCTGTGGCAAGTCCTTTAGAACTAGGGGGGAAGTGACTTACTTTTTAAGCCCCTTTCCTGTCCCTGTCTGTTAGCTCTGCAGTCTGTTCCACTGGAAGAGCTTTCACCTCACTGTATTAGTTTTTCTGTTCTCATCACCTGTGGCAGTGTAGCCATGGCAAACAGCTCAGAAGTGCCTCTACACAACTTTGTGAGTTTGTACTTCTAGCAGTTGATCTAACATCACTTCTGTTCCATCCCCAAATCAAGTTAAAATTCACAGGACAAACTGACTTCTTTATCCTAATCTTCTTCATTACTGCTGTTCCACAGTGAAAACAACCTTCAGGAGGACCTCTTTGATCAGATCCTCGTTGGGAAGCTGGAATTTCCTTCGCCCTACTGGGATAACATCACTGATTCAGCAAAGGTACTAATATGTTTTCCAACCTGTTTCTGATAAGCCACTGAAAAGACTGTGCCCTGTTGGAAAGGCAGAGTAGAGGATTCAGAACAGGTTCTTACCACTGCTCCAGCTGCTGTGCCTTTTCAGTTGGTTTAGCTTACCAGTGCTTGATAAAAGCTAAGTTTTGCAGGCTGTCATGTTGCTCTCCAAGTAAGGACCATCACATGACATTGTTTGCTTCTTGATGGACTATTCTAGCAGGTTATATACAGGTGCTCCAGCTGTAAAATACAGATGTCTCGGAATTTTTCCCTCCTATCACTCATTAAAAACATAAAAATTATTGCTATGCATACTGAAAGCAGTTGACATCTCTTCATATTTTACTTGAGCCAGTTATTTATTAGAACTTAGAGCCATTGGTAATTGCCATTTACAACAGTTCTTGTGTTGCCCTTGCAATCTTGTTTAAAATGATTGTGTCTGAAGGTAAAGGTTCCAATCTGTAAGCCCTGCTACTCAAGCTAGTTCACTAACTTGCTCTGTAGGTTTAGGTTAGACATTAGGAAGAGATTTTTTATGGAGAGAGTGCTCAGGCATTGGAATGTGCTGCCCAGGGAGGTGGTGGATTCCCCATCCCTGGAGGTTTTCAAGCTGAGACTGGATGTGGCACTTAGTGCCATGGTAGGGTTGGACTTGATGATCTTGGAGGTCTTTTCCAATCTGTTTGATTCCATGAGAAGGTTTTTCAAGGGCGACTTGGCTCCAAGTCCATGAATTTGTTCATTTGGGAGGGGAATGGATGTGTCTGAATTGGTTTGTAGAACAGTACACCAGGAAACTAGCTGTTGTCAGTGCCTTAAGAAGAAACTTGAATGATCTGAAGAAAGCTGTTTTGGGGTTTTGGTTGCTTGGGGATTCTTTAATTTTGTTTTGCTGACTGCTCTGTATCAATGACCTCTTCAGGCTGATCATAGCTGTAGGCACCATTAACAGAAGGCCCATGGAAGGTAAAGCTGTAGTGCCCCTAAAATAATAATTTCATCAGCTCCTTGACTTTCAGAAAGTTTCTTGCCCCTGATTTGTGCATTTTATGTACTATTATTATGTGCACATGCACTGCCCATAGAAGGTCTCATTGGTTTGATTTCATTCTGGTCATCTGCATGAATATAGAGAGAACAAAGTTCTTATACCTGGTATTTTAAACATTTCCTTTGGTTAAAAAAGGAAAGATGAAACATGCCTACAGCGAGGAAGCTGATATGAAATATGCCATCCAGCACTCTTAAGCCTGAAGTCACACTGGTATCACTGGTTTTGGTATCAGCTGGGTTTGTTTCATCCAGGTACCAAGAAAATTGCAGCGAGAACTTGGTGCTACACTGTTTTCAGTTATAATATCCTTCCTTACTCCCTTCAAACTCTTTTTTTCTTTCTTAATGAAGGAGCTGATTAGCCTCATGTTACACGTGAATGCTGAAGCCAGATACACAGCAGCACAGATCCTAAGCCATCCCTGGGTGTCCGTGAGTAAATTATGTTTCACTTGTCTCTAATTTGCTGTTAAACCTCTAAATCTAACCATTCAAGTGTCATTTTCAGAAGCAGCAATACACTTCTACTCAGTCCTTTTCTGTTTATCAGACCACTGATCCACACAGGGGAACAGTCAGAGCCTGAAGTTCACTTCAGCTCTAGGAGCACTGTCAGCTTTTGGGCTCTGCAGGAACACACTGAGGCTGTCACTTGCTGTCTGCAGGTAGAAGGTGCTCAAACCCTGCTTAAACATAAAAACAACAGGCAGGTGTGTCATTTCAGCACCTTTTTTGTCTTGCACATTCAGCCTAGAAACACTCAGCTCCAAGACATGTGTGTGGAGGCACTTGCTGTGCCTGTTGGCATCTCACTTGTTGCAGAGCTACTGAGAGTATGATCTGTTTCTTGAAGCTTTGTAAGAGAAATACCATTAGAAATACCAAACATCTAATTTACATGGGTACTACATGGCTGTCCTTCATTTTCTTGGGCAGCAGCAGTGGGGAACACCAAAGTCTATTGTTATCAATGTAAAATCAGTTCATTATTAATCAACATCAGATTTACATGTACATAGTCAATGTTTAGTCCACATTTTACTGAGGATGTCTATGGTGTTCCCTGACATGAGAGAAGACAACTCTAATGAGTGTGTCTATGCATCAGCCCCTCTAAGCCCCACACTTAGATGGACCATTTAAAATGCTGATTTAAAAGAAAACCAAACCACAAATACACTTTTTATTTTTACCATTCTTTCAAGCACATTAACATGCTCCAATCAAACTTGCAGCTTAGAATTGTGGGACAAATCAATGACTGCCACATGCCAATTTCAGAAGTTCATCCATAAAACAGTGAGTGGCTCCTCTGTTCCTTTGTGATTATGTCTCATGTAGCAGAGTGTGTTCACTTTTGGGCTGCCTGAATGAACACTTATGAAAAAGCAGGAGGGTAATAGAAAACTTCTCTTTTACTTGGTTGCATCCAAGCATACTTTTTTTTTTTCCTAACTTGAATATTGTGTTTTTTCTTGGACAGGATGATGCTTCTCAGGAGAATAATATGCAAGCTGAAGTAACAGGTAAACTGAAGCAGCACTTTAATAACACCCTACCCAAGCAAAATAACACATCTGCTGGGGTTTCTGTCATCATGGTAAGAGAAATGAACATTTTTATACATTTCTATTATACTCTGCATATTTTCCTGACAGTGCTTTAGGACTATGTGTGGTGCAAGAATAGCAAACCCCAAGCTGGAATAGTCTCTGATTCTAGTCTTTAGTGATGTATAGTGTGGGTTGTCTTGAGAGCAACCAAGTCTATCACAGTGTGTTACCTCAAAAACCAAAGTTTCAAACAGAAACATGAACACTAAGTAGTGTATATTGAAGTGAAGCTTATTAACAGTTTGAAACCTTTCATTATAAAAACTGTGATCTGTACTGACCACCTAGTTAGTTAAGGAGGTTTTTCCCCTCTGCCTGACCAAGTATTGCTTGACGTTGGGTGTACAGTCACTCAGCACTACCCTTGCCAGGAAACCAGACTCCAGTTCAGAACTCTCTTTGTAGTACTGAGTGTTTGCCACGTTCATTTTGTCCTCATCTAACCCCTGCTATGTTTTCTCTGTTCCCTAATGGGGAACTTTCTTTGAAGCATACCAAAGAATCCTGATGACCTACAGCTGAACTTACATAAACACTCATTCCAGAAGGCAGATGTGTGAATCATGGTAGAAGAAATGGAATTTGCTGCTCTCAGTACTCAGAGCTGCACTTGTAATTGCCCAATCTCTCTTGCAGAGAATATGCAACTGCTGTAATGATTGAACTGCCCTTCTGTTCTTACTGTGGTCCATCCCTGCCTGATGCAAGGATGGACACTGCACACAAAGATGATCCTCAATTACTAATAGGACAATAAAACAATCTGTGGTAGTAACATAACAGTAGTTTCTACTCCTAGCTCTTAATATCAAGGACTCTCATAGTCCAGTGCACTTATGTTAGCAAAGACTTGTTTTAATCACTTGAAAGTCAGTAAGTTTAAATCGTGTTTCTGCATTAGGATATGTTTTTGCAAATACACCTATATAAATTAAATAGGCCAATAATTCAAATGTTAGGAAGAGTGATAACATAAAAAATAAGTTGGAAAATGGACCTCAGGTTCATGCTGTTGTCTGCATTTCATTTGACAGTTTGACTTGACAGTTTGAGAGGGACTTCAGAGCTTCATTCTTTATACTGTTGAGACTATGGATAAGCCTGAAGCTGAAAACTGGTATAAAATGCACTCTATGTAATAAGAGCAATTTTAATTCTAACTCTCAGCCCCTCTCCAACTTGCATGCCACTTAAGCCTGTCTCAGACGTCTGACACAGCATAACTTCTGGCTTCTTACTGGTGTGGGTTTTTCCTGATTCTGTCAGCTACTGGCATTCCTTCAGCCAGGAAAGTACACCTCATTTTCCCTTTTCCTGCCTTATTTCCTTGAACAGGTATGGAAGGATGTAAATGCCCAGTTAGTTATTTCTGAGTGCTGCTCCCAGTTAGTGCTGAAAGGAGGAGTAAAATCTTGCTCACAACAGTGTGATCTAATGAGAGTTAAGTTCCAAATTTGTTCTTCTTGCCCTGGAAGGATGTAAACACACAGTTAGTTATTTCTGAGTGCTGCTCCCAGTTAGTGCTGAAAAGAGGAGTAAACTCTTGTTCACAACACTGTGATCTAATGAGGCTGAAGTTCCCCATTTGTTATTCTTGCCCTGGTTTTATCTCCAGCCTTGAAATTTAGTTCTCTTTGTGCCCAGAAGTTCTTCCCTGGCAGTAGCACTCATTGCTTACAAACATTCAGCTTCAGACCAGCACAGACTGTGCCTCTCATGTATTGCAGTGCATTGCTCTCAGTCCACCTGCACATTTAATGGAACCCCCTTAGCATCACTTCATTCCAACACTGTCACCTGGCCAATGCAGATAATCCCATCCTGTGGCAGATAAGTAAAACTGCACATTCCCCAGTCCAGTGTTCTTGCACAGGAGGCTCCTGCTGCCCCCCACCCACCCCAAGCATGTTGCTGTTAATTCATGACTGGTTTTTGATTTTTTTTTTTGGTCAATTTAAAAATGTTCTGTAAATCTAAATTTGTTGCAATCATGTTAGTTCTGCTTAAAGTAAGTCTAGTTTCTGTCCCTTGCTTCCTTCCTTTTTTTTCCTCCTTTCCCAATGCCTGCATTGCTTTCTTCTGAGTAGGTCCAAGGCAATGGTACGTACTAACTGCGATGCTTTGTTCTGCTGCACCAAAATTACATGTCCTCCATGTCTGAGCGAGAAAGGAGAAATAACTCAGCCAGTCTGAAGTGGAAAAAGCTATACAGCCACACAAAAGAAGTAAAGGAATCTCTTTGAAACACTTACAGAAAAGTTTTCTCTCTTCAATGATGCGTAGTTGAAATATTCTAAGCAAACAGCAATTTTTTACTTCCTCAGATATATCTTGATCTGTTCTCCTGGAAGGAATTTTGTACATGTTTGTATATCTTACCATATCTAAAAGCAATTAGAAAAACACTGTGAAGGCAGAACTAAAAACCAAAACCACTGAAAATACACATTATTTAAAGGAAACACTTTAATTATCACTTCCTTTCTGGTACCACAGAGCAAGGCAGGAGAGAATCAGTCCTAAATTAATAAAACCCATTCTTACTTAGTGGCAGTAAAATTAAACCTCCTCTGTCTTTTTAAAACAGAAAACCCTAAATTGCATTACACATCTTGCTATGTGCAAGGTGTGACAACTGCCAGAAGCTGCTGAAAGGACAGCACAGGAGAGAATCACTGGCAGCATGTCCATGTCCTTTCCCTTTTAAATAACTTTACTTGGCCACTGAAATAGCAGAAACCACTTTATTTCTAACTAATTTTTCCCAGCAGGCAAAAAAAAGGGAATGCAATCCTGCCAGCATAGCAGCTCTCTTGGTAATGCTCAAACTGCTGCAGAGCATCGCTAAACTCAAAGCTCAGATACAGCTCAGTTAGTAACTTCCTTCCATGCTCCATTTGCAAAGTGAATTGTTAGTAGCAGAGAATTCAGTCGTGTACTATGGAGTTTTCTCTTTGTAGGCTAATGATGTCAAAAAAGAGATTTTTTTACAGAGAGAGTGCTCAGGCACTGGAATGTGCTGCCCAGGGAGGTGGTGGATTCCCCATCCCTGGAGGTTTTCAAGCTGAGACTGGGTGTGGCACTTAGTGCCATGGTCTAGTGACCACGGTAGGGTTGGACTTGATGATCTTGGAGGTCTTTTCCAACCTGGTTGATTCTATGATTGGCCTAATTGCAGCACTAGGCAGAAAAGCAGACCCTGTTCTTTAAGACAGATGAATAAATCATTAAGTTTCCACCTGACATCTCCACCAACAGGTCAGCTCCCCTTCTGCACCACGTGGTTTGTTACCGAAAATGAGTCCTCACTAAGCATCATGTGATTCTTTGTGTCTGCAAAAACAGGTACAGAAGTTTGGCTAACAGCTCCTCTGAGTTCCTGCCGTATTACAACCACTCACCACCTTTTTTCCACATCAGACTTGCAAGACAAGATTTGAAACCTGCAACATCATTACAAACTCATGTCTGAAAGAGAAGTTTTCCTTACCTTTTCCAAAGTCAGCACCACAAAATACTATCATTAATTGTATCTAAGATTTCTAATGTTATTTCTCCTTTTTTTTTCCCCTTGGCTCTAATGCATGCACTTAATGTCTTGTAGATTGTTTTAACCCTGAAGTTAAGACAGGACTTTACTGAACTGCTGTTTTCATGTTTTGCCTTGGGGTTTTCTGTTTGTTTGTAGAACACAGCTCTAGATAAAGAGAGTCAGATTTTCTGCAGCAAGCGCTGTCAGGACTCTGGTAGAGCTGGAATGGAGAAAATTTCTGCAATTGCTGCTGCAGCTGCTGCTCCTCGTGTGGCTGGGCTCAAGACCTTCCTCCCTGCTGCTTCTGAGCCACTCAGCTCCCCCCTGCTGCCTGTCTCAGGCTCTCCAGGGCTCGCTGGGGATCAGCCTGGTGCGTAGGACTGGTGGAACCAAACCCAACTGAAGCTCCACAGCACTCTGGCCACAATTCTCTTCATTTCCCATGACTGTGTTGAGTTTGTGTGCAGCTCCTGTGGGGAGCCCCAGCCACGGGAGGCTGAGCTTCTTTCTCAGAGTGGATGAGTGAAGCTTTGAGTGCTCTTGGCCCTTGTCTTGAGAACAGCAGTAGGGGAAAGACTCTGGCAATGTAAGATGATTTTTTAAGTTGTCTGTGTTAGTTTAATTAACTTCATTTCACACAGCCTTGGGCTCTGACTAGACTAACTTATGGTGTAGCTAACCATATTTTTATAGGAACAGTGACCTGGCCTCAGCTCTACAGCAGGGCCTGTGCTGTTCTTCAGGTGGGAATGCTCAGAAAAGTGGGAGAGGAAGACAAGGGAAGAAAACTTACATTTGCCTTCTATTCCAAAGCCTCTATTTTTAGCTAAGTTTCTACTAAACTTGAAGAGGCAAATTTTCATGACAAATTTTTTAGTGGAATATCTGTACAATATCATGGGACAAACACTGGTGATAGAGAGGGAAGGATGGTTGTTTTCAATCCAGTTTGTTATCTGACTTGCAGGTAGTGTTTAGCTAATATGAATTTAAACAAAGTGACTTGGGATGTAAACATGAACACTGGACATTTCTTTGTACTGAAGACTGGAGTGAAGGAAAAGCCTTTTTGTTCTAGTCATTTTCTATCCTAACCACAAGTGTCCCATCCACACCTTTCTCCAGGGTCAGACTACCTATTAGAGGAAATAAAATTACTTTGGAGCTGTGAATGGAAAGCTGCATGTTCTCTAAGCTAGGATGGACAGACCAGTTCCTAGTTGTAGGACGAGCTGATAGAGGAGCTGCCATCAACAGCCATCAGAGGTTTGTCAGTGCTATCCCCTGTTCACCTGGTGCAGGCACTGGAAACAAGGATTGGGGAACAGCTATCCTTGATCTGCAGTCACAAAATAGAGGAGGTTTTCTCTTTACCATAATGCTTAGTTCAATAGAGTATGTATTCAGCTGATTTTTTTCCTTTGCTCGTTCTTATGAATTGGTCATAGGTCATTTTCTCTCTTAGCTCTACTTTCTACTAGAATTGTAAAAGAAAGACCTGCAATAAACTTTGTTCATTAAAAAAAAAAACCAACAAAGCACAAAGTCACTCATTTCTTTGAGAACTCAGTTATTTTGTCAGTGAAACTATTGTCTTATTCCCCCTGGGGAGATTGAACAATTAGATAACTACCCAAAGATCTCATGGAATCAATTTGAGGGATTCCCATATGAACTTTTAAAGTTTATTGACTCCTATGGAAGATATAGGTAACACATGATTAAACATAAGTGTTTTTACCTTTTGCAGAGGCATTCAAATATCAGAAAGTGCCAACTGATAACTTATGGTCATGGTAGCTGAAAGAAGTGCAGCAATGTGGCACAAAAAGTGGTAGGAAAGGTAGGAAACAACCCTGCAGCACTGCTGTGACCACCCTCCCCCTCAGCAGCAGCAAGCACTGCTTCCCAGAGCTTCAGGCAATCCATGTGACACAGGTGATGTCCTGCAGAGACCTTTCCAACTTCAGCATTTGGAAATCTAACCTTGTTCTGCCACCTCATCACAAACAGCATCATGTGGACTAGTCCAGCCCCAGCTGAGATCCCAAGTGCATGTCTGGCCCCCAGGGAGGTGTCTGGGGTACGTGGGGTTACCTGTGGTAGGAGAGGTATGTCCTGCTCACAAAAGGAGTCCAGAACGGAGGTGTCTTCATAGGCTGCTGACAGAGGAGAAGGTGAGGATGTCCTTTTCCACAGAAGGGCTGCAGCACTCGTGCAAAACACCATGCTGCACCAGCTGCTGCTCCCCCAAGGAGTGTTTGATGCCATCACAGGGTCTGGATGCAACTCAGGACCAGTTGTGCTTTCAGTTTGGGAAAGCATTTCAATAGGAACCTTCCTAAAACAAACAAATCGACTCCCCATGAAATATTTTGGCTCTAAGATCAGAAACTATTATTTCTATCAATAATGAAGTGTTTCCTAAACCAACAGGAGATCATAAAGAAGAGACTTTCAGGATTTCCATTTGGCAAAATACACATTTGTTTGTTTGTTCACCTCCACCCAACCTCGTGAACCCAGCCCTGGCTTGAGAGAAATGCAGACTGCACTTCAAGAGGAAACCAATTTCCCCTCAAACTCTTCTGAGAGGAGGCTATGAATGTTGTTGAACTTACTTTAAGAAGTGTGAAGTGCAAGTTCTGCATAGCAAACGTTACTGCTCAACACACCAGACACTTACCATGGGCATGATCCTTCACTCAGTCACATCATCCTTCTGCTGCACAAACCAAACATGTAACTGCTGATCCCACCACAACCACCTCAGTACGAAAATGCAGAGAGCAGAGCAAACTTGGTCACCATTTCATAAACACCAAGAGTACTTTGAGTGCATTAGCCATAACAAGAACCCAATACTCCACTGAAGCTCTCAATTACAAATGTAATTTTATTTGATTTCTTCACTCAAACTGAATTTTCTCATTCCCAATCTTTACTGAAAGAGAAAGTAGTTAAATGCTTAGAAAAACCAGGAACTGCTCTAGTAGGCAGCTAGAGAAATATATGTATCAATACAGATATGGAATGTAAATTTCAACTCAGATCACAACATACAAAGAAGATTGTTATGAATACAGACTTACAAAACAGTTCTTTTCACAAATATTTTTTTCACAGAGTTCTGCACAGCAATCTGGTAGAAAAGTAGATTTGTGCAACACCAAAATAACTTGTTGTTCCTTAGTAGAAATTACTTTTCAGTTCCTAAAAGAAAGAGGTAATTTAATAGGACTGGGCAGGATCTGACTGGATTTGGTGATAGCAAAATACGAAAGACATGGCTGCTAGATGCAGAAAAGGAATATGGCATGTGCTGCAGCATTGCAGGGGCTACTGCTGAGAGGAAAAAAAAAGAAAGTCACCTGCAAGGCCAGTGCTGCAGTGTGGGGCTGTGTGCCAGCACTGCCACCTCAGTGCTTCCACAGGCAACCAGTGTGTTTTGCAACTTGTACCTACCAAAAAAAATACCTGCCTCTGTGGGATTCTAGCTGAAAGTCTTCAAAATAGCCTTTCAGATGTTGAGGAACAATCCACATTTTGGTGTGCCTTGAAGGAGATGCCAAGGAGCAACGAAAAGGATTCACACTTGATGTAGCACAAACTCCAGTCCTGATTTCTCTCTCTTAACTGCACAAAACATACAACTAAAAAAGAACTAATTGCCTAGGCCTAGCAACATGCTTGAATAGGAACATTGATGGAAATGATTTGCAAAGTTTAAAATTACATTAACCATAATTTAAATATTACCCCTCGATTCCCAGAAGTTTCAGTGCTGATGTAGTACAATCATTTGGAAAAGTACAAGACAAAGTTGTGGTACAGATAGAACAGATCAAAATTACCCAAATATCAGAATTCGTTATGTTAAAATCATATATTCCTCAAGGTCATAGATAAAGCTTCAGATGGAAAATCTGTTTCTTCATAATATAGCTAGAATGTCAGTTCTATTAACCACCTTTAGGCTTTGTTTACATACAGGGATCAAAATAGACTTCTCATTGTGACTAAAAATATAGAATTATTTTTTTTTTTAACTACAGAACGCAGCAGCTGGTTTTCTGCTTTTTTTGCCCTTCCCCCAAAAAAGTCAAGCAAGGTCTACAAAAATAGCAATTAACTTTAAAAAATAGGTTGCTTCTTCCAGCAAATTTAAGTTACATTCAGATGTAATATAGCTATTTATATCAGGAACCATTTTGTGGCTCGACACCCAGAGGGGTGTGCTGTGTCCAGTTCCCTTCTGACAACAGCTGCCCAGGTCAGTGCTCTGTGAAGATCATCAGTATCTGGTTTGATACTCATGGTGCCAACGATTGAAGTCGTTGTAGAAGACCACGATGCTCCCAGAGGCCATACCAGTCATTATACACCTGAGGAAAGCACAGGACATTTGTTAGTGAAGCTCTGTGAGTCAGCACAGAGAGGATTTACATCAACATAGGCACAAGAACATGACCAACTTCCACTGAAGACAGCTGGAGATGGAAGTGCTCCACATACTGCAAAAGTCAGGCTTTCCAAACAAATCATGTTGCAGAGCACAAAACCATTGGAGAATCATAGAATTTTAGGGGTTGGAATGGAGCTTAGAGATGATCCAGCCCCAACCCCTGCCCTGGGCAGGGACACTTCCCACCAGAGCAGGTTGCTCAAGGCTCATCCAACCTGGCTGTGAACACTGCCAGGGTTGGGGCATCTCCTACCTCCCTGAGCAATGCTGTATTTGGCTAAAATAACTTCTAGAAATAAAAATTACTATTTGCTTTAGCAAAATATGGATGTGTGGAGGGAATCTTGTTGTCCAATTATTCTACCTGCTCTGTTTTTAACAAAAAGGTCTGGAATTAGGAATGTGATTTGTATTGTAAGTGAAAGAAGAAAGATGCAAAGCACACATGTAACCTTCCACCTCCACGTGACACACTCTGTGGCCAAGAACTCAACCTATCTTGAAAGTCAGCCAAAGGGAGATTTCTTGGATCTCTCTCCTTATTCCCCCAAGAGCTGAAATCCTGAAACAAATTATCTTCCCTAAATATGACAGTTCGAAAGGAACTCATGCAAGCACAGAATGCTGAAGATAATCACCAGGACCTGTGAGCCACAGAGAAGCACAATCAGAAGAAAAACAAGACTGTAATTTCATGGTAGGTATATATTGTCTGACCAGACTCTGCTCTAACCTTTGGTCGTAGGACAGGGCCATGGATCGGATCCCAGCGTCGCACCCGGGGTAAGCAAAGAGCTGCTTCAGGTCCCACATCTGCCACACCATCACAACTCCGTTGTCTCCACCCGTGAGCAGGTACTGTCCATCCCGACTCAGCTGAATGGCCTGAGGGGAAACCACAGGGACATTTGTCAGATAAATATGTGCTGCTCTTACCCCCCACACTTTTACTTTCAATCGAAGGTTTCACTGGTTTCAATGTCCAGGGATCAATATCCATAAAAACTTGCGAAGGAACATTCTTGTTGTTTTACCCAGTAATAGATTCATATTATTATGCACAGATCTTTTTCAGGCATTAGACATCACCAGTTAAGTTTTACCTGACCTGTGATTTATTCCATATTCCAAAGATCTAATATAAGGTCAGCTAAAGAAATTTACTCTTCTAATTAGCTAGATTTACACTAGCACTGGCATTCAAATATAGTACCTGACATTCCCCCAAGGGTCTTTAATACCAGCCTAGCAGAAACTGAATGCTGAAGGGAACTGAAATGTTATACAAGTCACTAGAAAAAATTTAGAGCAGCATTTTTAGATTCCTGCTCTGGATTAATCAAATAATGATCCACCTCTCCTAACAGAGACTGTGTTTTCTTTCATCATCCATCCTGAAACTGGCTGTGATAAATTCACTGGCTCATACCCTGATTTTGGATGCATCGTGGGGACTGATGGCAAATCTGTGGGAAATTGTATTTTGGATCCAGATCATGGAGAACGATGGGATCTCACTGCTTTTCAGAGTGAAGACCTCTTGAAACAGGAGTCTCCAATCTATTGTGATATTTCTTGTGTGCTGTTGGGAAAATCACGATACCTACTGAGTACCTGGAAGAATAACTTTCCTCAGTTACCTACTGACTATACCAGATGACACTATCAGATATTCAAGTGACTGGAAGCATGAGAAATATTTCTTAAAAGAGGGATTTTGCCAAAATGTGGCAGTTTTCAAGGCCAGGCTGAATGAGGCCTTGAGCAACCTGATCTAGTGAGGAGGTGTCCCTGCCCAGGGCAGGGGTTGGGACTAGGGTAAGGTCCATTCCAACCCTTAAATTCTATGATTCTATGATTTTAAATTCCTCGAGAAAAGGAAGTTTGGGTGGGTTTTTTTAATGTACGGAATTGACCACAAGAACCACAAAATGAGAGAAACTAAAACCCAAATAAAGTGTATACACAGAGTGCTGACTAGCCTAGGAACCAAAACATCCAGTGTGTGAGATAGTAAGTGTAATCAGACACAGTGCACATCTGTACTTTTTGTATTCTGTGCTCTATTACTATGATGCCAAATGCATCCTACAAGGATTATATGTGCAGCATTTGGATTAAGGTAGAGTTTCTATTCTACGTTATAAATTCTGAGTGTTTACTGCAACAGCTCCCAAATAATCAGAATGAATCACATTGCTGGACTTTTACTTCACACACTGACTTTAAAAGGCATGAAACTGAAACCCAAACATCAACTACAACCAAAAGACAACCCTGAACCAAAGAAAAGATGATATACCTATTCCAGCTGTGCTTTGAATGAAGATGACAAGTCATACATGTAAATTTAGACAACAGCAGAATATCTGGAATTATTTTTCCAACCATATCTAAGTATGGCAAACTGAATACTAACCAAGGTTAGGGTTGAGTATTCTAAGCTGAAGCTTCTCCCACTGAAAACAAATATTCCAGCCATTCCAGCTCTTGTGATTGTTTCTACTGCCTACAAAAGCATGCTAAGCACAGACCTTGAGCACTCTTAATTTAGAGACTCTCTTAGAAGAGTAGAGTAAGCAAGAAAGTGGTGGAAATCAAACTGATAAGACTCTGAAAATCACCTAGAACTTGCATGCACTGAGTAGATGATCACAAGATCTAACACACCACACATAATTATTGAAGAGATTATTCATTAGAAGCAAAAATCAGTGTGGGGTGGTTTTCTCCTCTGTAGCAATGACAATCTCCTACGGGTATTTCCAAATTGCAATGAAGACCGTGACAAATAATTATTTGCTACACTTATAAAATTCAGCTGATGAAAATCCATTAACCTTATGGTCATGGTTCACTTGGATTTTATACTTGAGGCTTTTACTGAAGAAATGCTATATTAAAAGGCAAATTAAAGCCATTAATCTTTAACTCTTCCACTACCTGCAAAATGCAGTGGGTGTTGTGATCTTTGGATTAAAGAAAGTACAGGCTTTGAACCCTTACTAATATCTATGCAATTTTACTAAGTCATTGGCTTGTCACGAGGACATGATGCTGATTTATTTTCATTTATTGTTTACTACTAAATTTCTCAGCCGTTTGTCTATAGAAATATATGAATGAAAGAATGACTGGAGGAATGAATGGAAGAAAAAAAAAGGTGACCCTGTCAACATTTCAGTTTCCTGACAAGCCCTTCAAGGTTTAACAAACGAAAAGATGTTTTTACTCCCAAGTATTCCAACTGGTGGAGAAGATGCCATGAATCAATTTTACTGTTCTGCTTTTCCCCAGTGTAGTTTATCTACAATTCTGCTAGGTGGGAGACTGAAACAACCCTGCAACTAATCTCTCTCACAACATGAGCTTCAGCCTCTCACAGAATCCCCAAAGTGCACAATTTCAGCAATGCTCTGAAAGCTGCAGCTCTGACTTGTATTTCCTTGGAAAGTCTGAAAACTCTGCACAAATCCCCTTCAAGGTTTGAGGGTTTGAAAGGCAGTGCTTTGTGAGAAGGCAGGGCTGACACTGTGACAGGCCTGGCTTACAGCAGCAGGAGTCTTGTGGGCACTTCCACTTCTCCAAACAGACTCAGGAAAGGAAAATAAATTGGTTCCTCTGGGTGAAACAGCATACAGCCTTTGTTTAGGGTAAAATAACTTTGCTTCTCAGAACAAGCAGACTATTTAGAGCAAAGTTGTTCATTAAGATATCTAAACACTACATGGCAGATGTACTGTGATACGCCTAAGCTCCACTGAGCAATGCAGTATTTAAAACAAAAACAGGTGGAAGGCATTGATTAGACTCTGAATTTCCCCAGAGTGTCTGAAATTTTTCCAGCATAAGAATACAAGAAAGAAAATCAGAATGTTGACCCAAACATCACTATGGAAAGCTGCTAGTTTTGCTAATAACCCTCCAAAATCCTGGTCCATAATGACATAAAAAAGCAGAGAGCAGAATGTTACAATACAGATTCAATCCTTATGACCTTTTCCTTCCCTTTTCTATCCTCCTCAAGCAAAAGCCAAGGCAAAGTGTTTGTCAGCACAGCCCTTGGGTAGGTGCTATTCATTTTAAATGCCCCACTTTAATCATGCAGTTGCCACTCTCCTTCCAAGATGATAGAGTGCAGAAGCACTGGGCAAGACGCTGTAGGTTGTTTAAGCATAAAGCTCAGCTGGGACCACTGGGAGAGAAAGAAAACAAACCCAAACCAAATAAACCCCCAAAACCCTGTGCGAACGTAATTCTGGCCCAGAGAGAGCAGAACTTCCATTGCCTCCAGCAACATTCCTAAAGCTGTGGGTACTGACTGAAACACTACAGAAATTGTTTGAGCCAGCAAGGGATTTCTAGATATTTTACAGATTTGCTGGCCTAGCTGACAACATAATCACAACTGAAGATGACAGATTATCGACGTTATTAATGGGAAAAAACACTGCGATATGTTCTTGCTTTGTGGAAAGAACTGGGATGAAGGGTAGGCTGAAAATCTCCGAAGCATTTGTACAAGGACAGCCAAAGGTGCAGTTTCAGGGAACTGATGCAAAAATCTACATTCATTTGGTAAAATGTCTTGGGATAGAAATACACACGTTTCTGCTTCACTTCCCCAGCCTCAAATCTACACTTGTGGCTGCAAAGATCAAATGCCCTCTCACCCCTGTAGACTCTCACTGGGGAACAGAGACCTACTCAGAGTTATTTCTGCAGATTCCACCAGCCTGTCTGACACTGTGAAAACATAGGGACACTGGATCAACACAGCATAGCACATCATAGAGTTTTAGAAGGTTTTAACTGGAATATGCTGAACTACATTGGAAACTTCAGTGCTAATGAAGAATTCACTGTTCCATGTAAGTTATAAAATAGAAAAAAATGGAGATCAAAAGTCGTAGAATCATATAATCATAGAACTGAAGGGTTGGAATGGACCTTACAGATCATCTAGTCCCAACCCCCTGCCCTGGGCAGGGACACCTCCTCACTAGATCAGGTTGCATAAGGCCTTTAAAATGGCAAAAAGCTTCCTAATATTATTAGGAGTACATGGTCCCTTTAAAGCTTTTCAGAATCCTGATACATCCTCTAGATATATGGTCTAGTGCCACCTATTTATGGTCTGGCTATAGAAGGAGTCTCCACACAGCTCCAACGCTGTCAGCTTTGACTGGCAGTGGAACTGGCATCATTAGCTCACATTTGATACACTCACCCTGATCTTGTCATCTGTTTCCATAGTGGCCTGAAGTCTTCCATTCACACTGAACACACAGAAGAGCCCATTTTCATAATATATGACACAGTGGCCTTCTCTGGAAGCTTGAATCAGTTTTGGTCTCAGGCAGTTTTCAGGACCTTCTAATCTTTCAGGACCTTCTAATGTCCTCAGTAGATCTCCATTCATAGAATGTATGAGACATGGTCCTTCTAGTGAGACAGGAGAAAATCTCTAGTTAGTGATTTACATGCTCATTCAAAGACATCATATATCAAATGATAAGCAATGACTTCTACTTAAATAATCACCATTATATACACTGTAATGGTTTTTACCATGTTTAAGTGAATTGCCTATGACTTTCAGGGTGCCAGAGAATAAGCTGAACAGTTTATCCCTTAAAAGCTTTACATTAAGGTATGTCAGAGCACATATCCAAACCAGTTAGTGACCTAACAGATTTTCTTTTGTGGATTTTCCTTTAAAACTGGCAGCAGGTAATTTTGAGAGCATAAAAATTAAAAGCACTGAATCTTAAAATCTGAGTTTCACAACACAATGACACATAGAGCTAAGTATATTTTTTGGAGATTCTCTTTGTACTCGAACCTATATGGACACAATAAGATAAAAGAAATTGCACAACTGGCACATTTAAAGGGGAAACAAAATTATTCTCCAGGTCAAGACACGAAAGGGTAAGGAAATGCTATAAAGTTCCTTAAACAGTTTTAGAACTTCCCTCACAGGCTATTCACTCCCCTCTTCAAGAGTCCTAGCATTGCATGGAAATCACAATGTTGTTTCTGTATTATCACATAATTAGTTGATTCATAGCATTCTATAAAGCATTTAAAGGCCAAAGAATATATTTTGGGCCATGGTATCATGTAGTTTCAAAAATATGTAGGTATTCTGAAGTGTTACTCTAAAAGATTTTTAACCCACACATGATCCACTAAATATTTGCTTTTTAACATGTTTGGACAAACACCTGATTTGTACATAAGGTAGATGAGCTCACATACCTACAGCAGAAATGCACACTGCTGCAGATGAGGAGTATTGAAAAAGTCTGAAAAAGTGTCTCAAAGTAGGTACTTTGGAAATACTAAAGCAGAAAGATCCTAATTCCAAGAAATGTATGGCTTAAAAATAATTGTGGACCACCAGATCAGAACATTATAAACAGTATCCATAGAATCAACATATTCTTTGTCCTTTGCCTGCCAAAAACAAGTCTTGGAGAACACAAATGGGGCATGTTACAGGCTCTGCAGCCAAGCCCAAAGAGCCTGGACAGAATTACTAGTAGTTTATATACACCCATCAGCAGACAAACCAAGCAGCACATTTTCCTTCTCCTGAAACTAATTTTTGCTTCCCTTTCTGAGAAGCTATCCATAACAAACACTCTTCACCACCCTGGCCACGGAAAGCTCTGTGCTACATGCAATTACACCCTGGATAAACAAACAGAAATAGCAATCAGGAGGGACCTGATGTGGCTGCCTCTTCTTGTAAATGTCTGAATAATCCTCAGTTTTAACATGTTTAAAAAGAGGTTTCAAGTTCCACAGCAAGTTAAAAAAAAGGTTAGAAATCAAACCACCATAATTCTGTCACTTGAGATGATATTCCTTCCCACATTAGGATCATACCTTCAGGAACAGAAAGAAATGACAACAGCTTCCTTACCTTTTGAACCACTTATTACCAGGCCAAGCTCAGCACAAATGGCAGCACAGGTGATCTCGTAGTCATGCCCTGTCAAAACAGCTCGAGGAGTTGCAAAATCACCTTCAAAGAAAGAACAATAAAAGCAATCCTGGGTTACAATCTGTTTCCGAAATCACCACTCTCAATCACCGAAGCATCTTCCGTTTCTTTGCTCTTTGTGTTCATGCTCCTTACAAATCACTTCAATGCTCCTGTTTGCATAGGGGAGTTCTGCACTTTGACCTCCACAGGACAGTCTAGGAGCTCAGTCTGAACATTGCTAACACACATCAGTACAAATGTCAGGTGTGTCATAAAACCAACCAAAGCCAGAGCACAGAGTTGTATTTTCCCCTATTTATATTTCATGGAAGAAGAGACCTAAGTCAATTACTACCTCTTCCTGTAACAGGAAGCAAACACAAGTATCACCATGAGAAGACACCTACAGTGCCCAAAAGATGAAGTAAAACATCCACTGACTGATTTTACTTTAACCTAGTAACAGTGCTGAAACCTCAGCCTGAAGTTGTTAGATGTGGAGCTCAGACCACAGTCAGAATTTCTGATGAGCCTGACAAAACAAACCAACCAAACCCAACTTGAATTCCCACTGCTCCTGTTAGACATTTCCCTGGAAAAAAACCCCAAACAAATAAAGCTGGGGGGTTTTTTTAGATTCTCGTTGCAATCCAACATGTGTGGATACAATAAGACAAAAGAAATTGCACAACTGGCATATTTAAAGGTGGAAAAATATTCTCCAGGTCAAGAGACAGGAAGGGAAAGCAAATGCTATAAAACTCCTTAAATAGTTTTAGAACTTCACTCCCAGGTTATTCACTCCCCTCTTCAAGAGTCCTAGCACTGCATGGAAATCAGTGTTGTTTTTGTATTACCATATAATTAGCTCATTCACAGCATTCTACAAAGCATTTAGACTCTAAAGAATATATTTTGGGCAATGTCATCATGTAGTTTCAAAAAGGATTAGATGAGTTTTTATGCAGCAGGAAATAACATCACAACAAATCATGATCCGTGAGATACCAACAAGGCAGTAAAGAAAGGGCTAAATCAAACTTTGAAAACTTGAAAAACAGGAGATGGTTTTGCAAAGAGACAGTAACCAAGGGAATGAGTTGGTCCTGTTACTCCTCTAAGGTAGCATCATTCATATTATGTTTAGGGTAGTTTTCTAAAGGTAAACACAACATAATGTCATTAGTCTGTCCATGTTGAGCCAAAATAGTGCAGCAATTGGGTGTTGTTAGAAATTTTGTAGCTATATTTCAGCTGGTAGCTGCTCAGATCCTGTGTGTGTACAGGGAGAGACTTCCCTGGAAAAGCAATGTAAGATCTGGACTTGCATAAATAAAAGCTCAGCTTACTCTTCATGTTTTACATTTTTACTCAGACTGTTTTGTAACACCTCCCAAAATGTCTTTTAGGAAGTCTTGAATCAAGGACTTTGACCTTTCAAAACTTGATTTATTCTGCAGCTACTGTTATAATCTATCATTTACCTATACAAAATCTTGTAAATAAATCTCTTAGACACAGACACATGTATGTACACACACACAGAGGCACGTAATGTTAGCAGAAATTTTAGCTCTGAAAATGCTTTGGAGCAACTTGCTGAATTGTCCTTAATCTCTTAATAAATAACCATTAAAGCTATTGCTTTTGTTTCGTAGAATGCTTGAAAAAACCATGCCCCAGTGCAGGAAGTATGGCAGACAGCAAAGGAAAAACTCCCAACAAATTAGAAGCATAAGGGTAGACTTAATGACCTCGAGGTACTTCTCAGGTGGCTCAGCCTGAGCACTCACAAACCTTTCAGAGCAAACTTGTCCTGTGGAACTTTCCTCACCCAAACGTGGGGCAGACACCCTGGAAGGCTCAGAAGTGAACACAAACTTCCAGTTTGAGGGGGAAAATCTAACAGCAACCGTAACACTCTTACTACCAAGCAACAATTTAATGCCCCTGACCCGTTTTTGTCTCCTTTGGCCCCAAGTCACAAAAGGAGCTTCATGCATTTAAAGGTACTGTTAGTTTTACTTTAAAATGATCTGCCTATGTTAGCAAAATGGTCAAATTCTGGGTTTATTGCTTTATTTTCCTTTCAGAAATTGCATGAGCACACACTTGCATAAACCAGCAAGAAGTTAATCTAATTATATACACTACACATTAATGGAACTTTTGAAGTCAGAGAAGTTTTAAATATACAAGGTTGCAGAGCGGGTAATGAATGTAAGATGTTGGAGTTAGAAGGACTTAGGAGCAGCAATGCCTGAATGAATTATTAGGAGGTGCAGGTAAACAAAATCCTTAGAGGAACCTTGTTGCTTACAGACACTACATTGCTATAGGTTTTACCTGCATGAGGCTGTCAGTAGGTACATAAAATGTAGGGGATAAGATCCTTAAAAAAAGAAGTAGAAACTGAGCCTATATTTACCACAACTCACAGAAAATAAAATCACCTAAGTAATACTCACAGTCTTTTCAGAATTTGGACTTCAAACATAACAGAGTATAAATCTACAGGTGGCAGGATGAGGGTATAGAAGTTGTATCAACTGTTTAGTAAATTATATTTGCACTACAAAACCACTCGAAGTGAAAATGAAACAGAAGAAATCTGAATGGTATCTTTAAAGAACTTAGGGCTTGAATAGATACTGTAAAAGAGGAGCCCTGTGAAAAGTCAGGCTGAGTCCTTTGATAAGAATGTCAAGTATTTAGGGGTTTCCAAGCCTCTGATTTTCCAAATAATGGGGTCAACTTAAAAGCTGGTCATAGAGCAGAACAGATTTCTTTAAAAGCTTCTAAACTGTTATTGCTTCAGAAGATTGTCATGGTTTTCAATAATGCAAAGGGAAAATTTTATTTTGCTGCTGGTTTAAGGGGCACCACTTCAAACTTTTCTAAATTGTTTTAGGGGAACAGACTTGCAGACCTTTTGAAAAGCTGGGGAAGTGACTTCAAAGGGAAGAGAGTCTTTGTCCACTAAGCAGGTTTACGAGCACTGATGCAAACCCTAACTAAGGGCTGAAAAGAATCCTCAGTGAATCTTTATGGAGATCCTTAAGGAAGATGAACAAGTCAAATGAAATTAAAGATAGTTCAAACCCGAGCCCTAATAACCAAGACACAATAGTTTTACAGATGTGCTTTTCTCAGCAGAGGATATAATCATATCCTTGGTGTATAGAATTACTGGATTGCTACTCGAATTTGAACAGTAAGATTCTCAATGCCACATGCACACACTGCAACAAATGTCATCCCTGATTTATTTAGGGTGCATGTAAAGTTATTTTCCTGCAGTGGGCAGAAAAACTTTACCTTCACCATTCAAATGACTCTCCTCCATTCCAATAAATAATTTCTGCAAAGCTGTTTTCCCACAGAAAATAACGTATCACTCTTACTTGACTAAAGTACATTTTAAATCATCAAATTCAAGCTCAGGAGATAAAAGAAGAGCACATGGCATCGAGTCAGCCCGTGGTGATATATCAGGGGAAAAATGTTAGGCGTTTGGAGATTACCTTTAAAAGGGAACAGTAGGATTACAGCAGAGTCAAAACTTTCTGCTGGTTTAATGACATCCAGAAGACGATGTGCCTTCCTCAATAATAAGAAATTGGTTTGTTTTTCTGGGGCTTTCTCTGCTGTTTTACTCAGCTTTGGTGATGCTACAACACAAAGCAGGATCATGAGGTTTTAAACCCATCAGTAAATTTCCCTTTTCTTTATTTTCAGCAGTAAGCTGGAGGAGCTGAGCCAAACACAAGGACTCATTTGAAGAAAAATATCTTCTTAAAAAGAAATCTAACTAGGGACGGGCTGCAAAACTTCTCTCAGCATTAAACACCAGATAATCTCCCTATTATTTATGAGTGAGATAATAGGCAACACATTAAAATATAAAATATTTGACCATGCTCCTTTTTATGTTTCAGACTGAGGAGACAGTGAATTATGACAAGTCACAGAGAGCCAAACAGCCATTCCAAAATGATTCCTCTCTGATTGCAGAGGCTGCAGGGCACTTTGAAATGGCAAATTAATTAGGTGATTTTATGTCAATATAAAACCCAAATTGAATGAAGCATCAGTTAATCTATCATTTTACCTATTCCTTGCAAAAGTAAGTGATGGATTACTGTCTCAGAATGATACAGCAACCAAAGCAAATTGCATATGTAAGAAAAGTCTTCGAAAATCTGTGGTTAGAATTTCCCAGTTTTGAAGTTGCTCCTAGGACAAAGATTGAGGGAAACAATGAAAGGTTTGAAATCAGTGTGAGAAGTACAAGTGCACCTACAGAATGCAGGACATCTGGGCAAAAATGCTGTCAGCAAAATGTAAGTAAACCAAGGAAACTCATTTGCTGATAGGCTTTTATGTGGATTATATAGCAAGTTTCAGAGTTTAATTACACCCAAGTGATACCTGTTGAATAGTGTATAAAATCTGTGCATTGCATTTATAGATCACAGGGAATATTTAATGGTTAGAAAGCCATTTCCCTGGCACAGAACAGCCAGTGATCCGATGGATGTGAGATCTTACTCACGTGATACCACATAACATTGCTGAAGTATTCCTAAAAAATTCAGTTTGAATAATCTTCTCTTTGTAAATATACATTTTTTAGGTAACAATATTATATTTTCTTATTATACAGGAACTTCCTTGTTGTCTGATTCTTCACATGACACTCCATCAGCTTTTCCTTCCAACTACTCTCCATCTGTTCAGACTTATTTTGCCCCAAAAAGTACAACCTTATGCCTAGATGCAAGTTTTGGTTTTGAAAAAAAACCCCCAAAAAACCCCAACACTTCAACCATATATTTTCTGAAAAAGGAACAATATCTTTACCGATATCTTTATCATTCTGTCCTGCTGCAAAATCTAAACACATAAAGCACAGGAGCTGCTGAAGTGCTGGAATGTTTGTTCAGTAAGGAAAAAAAATAGATGAGATTTATGTTTTAGAATTCATTTCAGCAAATACAACACAGGAAGGTTTACTGCACTTCCCACAGTCACACTGTGCAACAAGTGATCAACATTTAGCACTAAGAAGAGATTTTTTTCATGTACTTCGTGCCACGAAAACAGGTTCACTAATGTTTCCAAAATAAACACGACAAAGGCTT